TCAAACTTTTATAGCCTCATTTAAAGACATATTTCGACCGTTACACTATTGGAGTGAATGCACTCATTGACAAAAAATTAAGGAAGTTGTACTTTTTAGCACGTATATCGGGATTCTGACAATAACTCTGAAAGATATTACAGTGACCTTTATTGAAGACACATGGGATAACCAAGTGTGAAAAATCCTGACCCCAATTCTAACATCAGAAGTATCTATAGACACATCTGGTTAGAGTTCTCCTCCATAGTACCATGAGATCGGGGTAGTTTCCCGACCCCAGCTCTAACATCAGGAAGTATCTATAGATACATCTGGGTAGAGTCCTCCTCCATAGTACCATGAGATCGGGGTAGTTTCCTGACCCCAGCTCTAACATCAGGAAGTATCTATAGATACATCTGGTTAGAGTCCACCTCATAGTACCATGAGATCGGGGTAGTTTCCTGACCCCAGCTCTAACATCAGGAAGTATCTATAAATACATCTGGTTAGAGTCCACCTCATAGTACCATGAGATCGGGGTAGTTTCCTGACCCCAGCTCTAACATCAGGAAGTATCTATAGATACATCTGGTTAGAGTCCACCTCATAGTACCATGAGATCGGGGTAGTTTCCTGACCCCAGCTCTAACATCAGGAAGTATCTATAGATACAGCTGGGTAGAGTCCTCCTCCATAGTACCATGAGATCGGGGTAGTTTCCTGACCCCAGCTCTAACATCAGGAAGTATCTATAGATACATCTGGGTAGAGTCCTCCTCCATAGTACCATGAGATCGGGGTAGTTTCCTGACCCCAGCTCTAACATCAGGAAGTATCTATAGATACATCTGGGTAGAGTCCTCCTCCATAGTACCATGAGATCGGGGTAGTTTCCTGACCCCAGCTCTAACATCAGGAAGTATCTATAGATACATCTGGTTAGAGTCCACCTCATAGTACCATGAGATCGGGGTAGTTTCCTGACCCCAGCTCTAAATCAGGAAGTATCTATAAATACATCTGGTTAGAGTCCACCTCATAGTACCATGAGATCGGGGTAGTTTCCTGACCCCAGCTCTAACATCAGGAAGTATCTATAGATACATCTGGTTAGAGTCCACCTCATAGTACCATGAGATCGGGGTAGTTTCCTGACCCCAGCTCTAACATCAGGAAGTATCTATAGATACAGCTGGGTAGAGTCCTCCTCCATAGTACCATGAGATCGGGGTAGTTTCCTGACCCCAGCTCTAACATCAGGAAGTATCTATAGATACATCTGGGTAGAGTCCTCCTCCATAGTACCATGAGATCGGGGTAGTTTCCTGACCCCAGCTCTAACATCAGGAAGTATTTATAGATACATCTGGGTAGAATCCTCCTCCATAGTACCATGAGATCGGGGTAGTTTCCTGACCCCAGCTCTAACATCAGGAAGTATCTATAGATACATCTGGGTAGAGTCCTCCTCCATAGTACCATGAGATCGGGGGCGTTTCCTGACCCCAGCTCTAACATCAGGAAGTATTTATAGATACATCTGGGTAGAATCCTCCTCCATAGTACCATGAGATCGGGGTAGTTTCCTGACCCCAGCTCTAACATCAGGAAGTATCTATAGATACATCTGGGTAGAGTCCTCCTCCATAGTACCATGAGATCGGGGGCGTTTCCTGACCCCAGCTCTAACATCAGGAAGTATTTATAGATACATCTGGGTAGAATCCTCCTCCATAGTACCATGAGATCGGGGTAGTTTCCTGACTCCAGCTCTAACATCAGGAAGTATCTATAGATACATCTGGGTAGAGTCCTCCTCCATAGTACCATGAGATCGGGGTTGTTTTCCGACCCCAGCTCTAACATCAGGAAGTATCTATAGATACATCTGGGTAGAGTCCTCCTCCATAGTACCATGAGATCGGGGTAGTTTCCTGACTCCAGCTCTAACATCAGGAAGTATCTATAGATACATCTGGGTAGAGTCCTACTCCATAGTACCATGAGATCGGGGTGGTTTCCTGACTCCAGCTCTAAAATCAGGAAGTACCTATAGATACATCTGGGTAGAGTCCTCCTCCATAGTACCATGAGATCGGGGTTGTTTCCGACCCCAGCTCTAACATCAGGAAGTATCTATAGATACATCTGGGTAGAGTCCTCCTCCATAGTACCATGAGATCGGGGGGTAGTTTCCTGACTCCAGCTCTAACATCAGGAAGTATCTATAGATACATCTGGGTAGAGTCCTACTCCATAGTACCATGAGGATCGGGGTTGTTTCCGACCCCAGCTCTAACATCAGGAAGTATCTATAGATACATCTGGGTAGAGTCCTACTCCATAGCACCATGAGATCGGGGTGGTTTCCTGACTCCAGCTCTAAAATCAGGAAGTACCTATAGATTCATCTGGGTAGTAAAGTCCTCCTCCATAGTACCATGAGATCGGGGTAGTTTCCTGACCCCAGCTCTAACATCAGGAAGTATCTATAGATACATCTGGGTAGAGTCCTCCTCCATAGTACCATGAGATCGGGGGCGTTTCCTGACCCCAGCTCTAACATCAGGAAGTATTTATAGATACATCTGGGTAGAATCCTCCTCCATAGTACCATGAGATCGGGGTAGTTTCCTGACTCCAGCTCTAACATCAGGAAGTATCTATAGATACATCTGGGTAGAGTCCTCCTCCATAGTACCATGAGATCGGGGTTGTTTCCGACCCCAGCTCTAACATCAGGAAGTATCTATAGATACATCTGGGTAGAGTCCTCCTCCATAGTACCATGAGATCGGGGTAGTTTCCTGACTCCAGCTCTAACATCAGGAAGTATCTATAGATACATCTGGGTAGAGTCCTACTCCATAGTACCATGAGATCGGGGTGGTTTCCTGACTCCAGCTCTAAAATCAGGAAGTACCTATAGATACATCTGGGTAGAGTCCTCCTCCATAGTACCATGAGATCGGGGTTGTTTCCGACCCCAGCTCTAACATCAGGAAGTATCTATAGATACATCTGGGTAGAGTCCTCCTCCATAGTACCATGAGATCGGGGTAGTTTCCTGACTCCAGCTCTAACATCAGGAAGTATCTATAGATACATCTGGGTAGAGTCCTACTCCATAGTACCATGAGATCGGGGTTGTTTCCGACCCCAGCTCTAACATCAGGAAGTATCTATAGATACATCTGGGTAGAGTCCTACTCCATAGCACCATGAGATCGGGGTGGTTTCCTGACTCCAGCTCTAAAATCAGGAAGTACCTATAGATTCATCTGGGTAGTAAAGTCCTCCTCCATAGTACCATGAGATCGGGGTAGTTTCCTGACCCCAGCTCTAAAATTAGGAAGTATCTATAGATATTTCTCATGGCCAAGTTGTGAAGCGCGGATCTCCATGTCGAAAACTTCTACGAAGACCAAACTTAAAAAAAAAGAAGAAGAAGAAGAAGCGTATGTGTAAACAACAGCCGCCCATAATCCGACCCAGTTCAACATGTGCCCCCTCACATCCGCCTACAGACATCCTCCTTGTCCGCTGAATTTCAATTAAATCGAAAGTTCTGGTGTCTTTGATACTCTATCTCTCTCTTATGTAACCCGGAATTCTGGAGCGAAGATCCTCTCTATAGAATTGTTTTATATACTGAACGCGATCAAAACTATTTTCTTGGGAGAATCCTTACTTCAATCACACATATACCTTGTTAACGCAACCCTATTTATTAACTTTTGGCCTTCTTCAGAGTAATCTGAATTCAAACAATCTTGGAGGCATACATATGCATTCATAGTTTCCTGAGATCTCTTGGCTCTCTTTAGACCAGCTCCTATTACAATTAAAACCATCCTGACAGCAATGGTAAACCAATATATTATATATTGGTCCATAATTAGCATTAGAAAAGTTTTTTTAAAGAAAAACCTTTACATATAGACGGCTACGTATATTTTAGAATATTCTGAGTAAATATGAAAACGCACACTCTCTTTTGTGTATTACATATAGAGAAGATGATTTTGATGGAAATTTTTGAAATGAAAAATTGGCGGAGGGCCGTGAAGTATGGAAAGACCATGTGGCCCACCCTCAGTAGAGGAAGGCATTGAAGGAAGGAAGGAAAGAAGGAAAAAGAAATGGAAGAATAACTAAAATGAAAATAATGGTGAAAAGAGAGAAGTCTGTAAAAAGCAGTTTTCACAATGATGAGTGATTTTCTAGATGAATACAAGTTTTCTGAATTGTTGCAGTAAACGACTGCATTTCTCATTGGGGGGTAGGGTTTGAAACTTATATTTGTCTTCTGCTGATGTCACCAGAACCAATAATGTCACGTGCAGGATGTAATTAGGTGACATGATGTCATTGCGTTATTGACCAAAGTGATTGGATAATCAATTTAATAAATGTACATTATTTCTTTATCCCTTAAAATTCAATTATCTTAAATGGCCAATCTGACTGTTATCCATAAATGTCTTGCCATTGTGATTAGGTCAAATTTATCAAAGATATTGAAAACATTGTGTAATAAAATGAAAGCATTAAATCACGAATTTTTCTTTTATGCATAAAAGAAATAAAATCTCTTTACCACTGATATTGGTGGAGATGCTGGGTATATTTGGGACGACAAACTGAAGATCGGCAAGAAAACCTTGGAGCAATAGATGCTGTGATCTACATTTTCAGAGACTACCTCCAGGATTCCACCGCTGTGTCAAAGCAAAGACTTCCTTACGAGATGAAGATGTCCCTATAGACGATATGACGACAAAGCCGCTCTTCACGCTGTAAGAGAAAGGACACAAAGCTACTAAAGACAGAGTTCCAAGACTATGAAGAAATCCTTGGCAGAAGCAACGTCAGATCCATATAAGTATCTACAAAATTCGCAAGCTGTGGGTCACAGCTACAATAGGGAAGAAGCTATGTAGCAAAGTATTATTTTATTAACAGATTATTTTACTTTTGATGATTATATATTTTATTTACGAACGGAAAAATATGTCCAGGGCAGCTTAGTGGACATGGCATCTGCCCGGTAAGCGGAACACTGTGGGTTCGATTCCCATTCCTGGACACTTTTATTTTTCCGTTTATCATTACTCTTCACAATTCATCCTTTCATACCTCATTCCTAAAGTTAGAAATAATCGTTATTTCTCCTTAAAAAATAAATTTTGATTTTTCGTTGAAAAGAAACACTTGCTATATAATTTTAAAATGTCATTTTGCAATATATTTTATTACTCTGAGGAAACTTCCCTCACATTGCTTCTCTTGTATTTCATCAATTTTAATTGGTGTTTATGTCTTAAATAAATTGCCGTGTCATCCTGAAGTTTGTCTTTCCTAATTTTCTAAGTGACGCCAAGCCCTCCCAATATATATTTTCATCGCAATAAGAACATTAGAAGATTTTATTTTATTTGTAAAAAAAAAAAATCGTGCTTTAAATTTCATTTCATTTTTTTTTTTTTGCTTATCTCTAGTACACGTGGTACAGGCCATGATAATTATGGTGGGTAGAAGTAGGCGACTGCTTTCACTGTAAGTGCACCACATGTCTACACATATGGAAAGCAGTTCGAATTTGCACTTACAAATGTGCCAGAGCCCCGTTTGGTTACTTTCACTCGCTGGTGGGGTTGGTCTTTTGCAAGAAACGGGAGCCATTGGAGAATTTTTTTTTAATCAGAAAAAATTCCCAATGCGGGAATCGAACCCGGGTCGTAGCGGTCGAAAATCAACGGTTTAGACCATCCTTCCACCGACTCCCCAATCATTTATAATAAACTATCTTAACATATAAATCAAACATAAAAATATCAAATTTTCGATCTAAGCTATTTTCAACCTATCAATTTCTCTAGAAGAACTTCACTTCTATCATGACAAAACCCTTCAGCCAATCAACATGCAGATCACAGAAGCAGCTTGTTGCTCATTGGCTAATTGTTGCCATTACGTCATGAATATTAACCTTGCTCTTGCATAATTAAGGATAATTTTAAGGTGAATGGAATCCTGAAGGTCTTTTTAACAATTTTTTAGAGTGTTATATTTAATGTCCATCCGTTATTTTCACAGGTCGTAAAATATTCTAGTAAAAAAGTTATAATTATATTAACATATCGTTTTGAAAATAGAGCAATCCATAAATAAATCTTTAATTAAAAAGACATATATTGGATCAAAATATCATTTATATTACCAATATTTCAGTTGGCTGAACGCCAACCTTTATCAAGGTGTTATAACATATTAAAATGTCTTATTATTATTTAAATATTAACATATTTTTCAAAGTAGCTACCTTTTTTATACTCTTTTTAACCTATGTAAATAAGAGACTATGCAAATAAAAGTGTAGTCTGTTACTAAGTAGAAATGTAGGTGCATGATAATATCAAAAAGCATCCAGAGTTAAGTTTCTTGCACAATTTTTATTTCTTTAACTTTCAGGGTAAAATGCCCTTCAACAAGAGAAACTAATAGTATAACTTATAGTTAACTATACACTCGCCTTTGCCGGTCCCAAGCCCGGATGAAAAAGGAGGAGGGGGAGCAGTAACAAGCTTGCTAAAAAACCTGGGCTCATCTGACCCGGCTGATAGTACTCTGTAAGGGCTCCTAATCCAGGGATACAGGATGAGCAGCGTTTGTACTCCATGTTAGGAGCGGCTGCACATGGCGTCTGTTCCTCATGTCAGAGGCGGTCATTTCTTTTGGAGCTAAGTCGGCTTGCTACTGAGTAGTGCCCCCAGTCTTAATGACAAAGGCAGACGCATTCACTCAGTAATGATGTTTGTCAAATCTCAAGCTTGATACCTTAATATGATTGAGTGGAGATAAGAAAGAAGAAGAAAACTATACACTGTTTGGTTTCGTAGTTTAGTTTTCGGCGTGTATAGTTAACTAAAAGTTATATTACTAGTTGATCCTGTTGAAGGGCATGTTATCCCAAAACTAGAGAATTAAAATGGTACAAGAAACTTAGCCCTGATGCTTTTTGATCATATTAAATAATAAGTCATGGGATGAACGTTTATAGAATTTTTTTTTTGAAATTCAAGTTTATATCAATTGATTTAAATATCCTAGATATAAATAAAATAATTCAATTTCTTATTACCAATTACCAATTATTTTATTTCCAAAGCGCTATATCCCGCAAGGGATACTTGCGCCAAACAAGGAGAAAAGTTTATTTACATAAGTTATTTACATTATTCAACGCATGAAAACATTAGAGATCCAGATTTTGTAGAAAGTTTAGAATGTATTTACAAAATGAATTGAACTTTAAATATGATTTTTTATCGGAAATCAAATCCGTAAGTTCACAAACAACTAGTTCATTCTTCATTCTATAATCTTGAAATGCTGGGCAATCGATCAGTAGATTTCTTATTGAAAAGACTTTTTTCTGTATATTTCGCCTTTGTTTAATAGCAAAATGAAATAAACTAATCACTTCTCACTGCTGTCCTTTTGAATCAAATAGAATAAGTAATTCACAATACTGATAAGTCACAATTTGAATTATAGATTATAAACACAAAGTAATAAGACCAAATCTAAATGAATAAATAGTGTGTGACGTTTCGGAAACGGCAATGTTACAGAAACGTCACACACGATTTATTTATTTGGATTTGGTCTTATTACTTTGTGTTTATAATTCACAATACTGTTTATGTTCAAAGGAATGCATATATGTAGTAATGTAGTTGTTGTTATGCTGTCGACTTTTAGAGTGGGTTCAGGCGTGATTGGGATTACACAAAAGGACGAGGCATGTTAGATGTCACCACAGAGATGGCGAGAGAGTAAGTGTAATCCCAATCACGCCTGAAACCACTCTAAACATTGTGGCCACCACGACTGCAACCAACATGCCACACTACAGTCATCCTACAGGATAACAAACTACATCACTACATATATATTTAATGAGAATATTATTTCTATATTCTACTTTTCTATAGATCAATTCTAATTTGCATTTATTTGTCAATAACACTTTAAAATAATGAAAGCGATGTGTTCCCAATATAGGTAGGGTCAGCAAATTGCCACCATATTCCAAGGTTATCATTTAATACTAGACCAGAGAGTTCCTAAACTTTCTAGAACCACTCCCCACTTTGGAACACCTAAATAATGTAGCATCCTGTCCCTACCATTACAACACAAAATGTTCAGAATTCGAGCCATTCAATATTTTAGACGCAAATGACATATAATTATACATTAATTCTTATGCCGTTAAATTACTTTAAAACATCAACAATAACAACAAAAAGTTTTATTTAAAATGTTTGTCCTATATAGATTCTCCAAACAGAAATGTAGGGTACATGCAGGAAAAACAGCAATAGTACTTTAATTTGAAACAAATAAATTTACTGGCAATGTGTTTCTTTTTAATTAACATTAAGGTTCTTTGGTTCTGTGGTTCTTTAAAAACTTTAAAATTTTGTAAATTGAAATTTTTGACTCTTCCGAATCAAAGGTTTGTCGCCCCCTGAGTTAGTTATATCTGAATTTGTAAATAATAATGCTATGAAGTATATATTTGCCTATCTGAATTTGTGTAATCTATACAAATATCTAAAGAAACATAGGGCTCCTCTCCCGTCAAATTAAACCTCAAAACTAGACGCCATCTTTTGACCGTCGCTGCAAACTAGCGGCCTCGAGTCGGTGACAAAGCCACAGATGGTGTCTAGTTTTGACGTTTAATATGACGGGGTAAGAGCCCTAAGTTTTTTTTTTTCTGATCAATTTTCCTCTCGGAAAATTTTCCATCTATACAAAGATGTTTAAAAAAATCAACGTTTTTGAAATTCAAAAAAGAAGAGAAATAGCAATTTCGTACATAAAAAAAAAATTATTACAGAAGCACGAAGTCTATCAGACTATTGTCTATATTAGAATTATTTACATATATATGTTATAAAAAATGAGATTTTCTGCATGAATTTGATTATTTTCTGGTTCTTTTTAGTACTAAATGGTATTGGTAATGCAGTCGTGGCTAAAATCTTGAAAGTATAATAAAAATATTGAAGATTAGAAATAGCTTTAATTGAGCTTATGGGATATATAAAAAACACATAATTTGATAAAAGTACTGCCTGGTTTAAGGCGAGTAGAACAAGGAAAAATAAAATAATTATTCACATAATTTACAAACGGTTTGAGCCGGCCATCGGGAAACAACAACAACAATGAGTTTTTATAGGGGAAGCATGACCTCTGACGGTCGATTTAACAGAATATTTGAATCTATGATATATAATTTTAAATAAAATAATATTTTTATATAATATATATATATCTTTAATTATTCACACGATGAATTAGTAGTGATTTATAAATCTGTGTACAAATAGCTCTAAACTTGCCAAAGTTTTCTTAAGATTGAGTATATACAGAAAGATGGCATTATGTCAAAGTAAGCAAGTACAATTTGGTTAGTCAGAGGCCCGCAAATAAAGATTCTCTGGTGTTTCAACATCGTATTTTATCGTTATAACATCAATTTCGTACATGAATCCTTTTTGCTAAACTATCAAAGAATGATTCAGCAATTATTCTGTGAATTATTGATAGGTATATCACTGTTGTTGGTATAGTCATCAATAGAGGTAGAGAATGATTGCTCTGTGTTTGGTGGATGGACACTATGGCAACTGCCAAGTATTTATTATTTACACATGTGTCGTCATTTAAATGTTTGATTGGATGACATGGCACCTTTATTTACTTCTATTCTTTCTTTGTAGGAGAGAGAGGTGTTTTGATTATCCCTAGTATACCTGGTAAAGACCATGATAATCAATATGAGTGATGAGTAAGTGCGCACCAGATGTCTACAAATGTAGAAAACAGTTCAATTTTCGTACTTACAAGAATGCCAGACCCGTTTTCTTTTTAGGATATTTTCTTTTAGTTAAACGATACCATTCAATATGGAGTAATGCTCATGAACACGCATTAACATCTCGCTTCTTCTATTCTTTTTTTCTAGAATTCTGATAAGGAAAATATCGTATATATAAGAAAAAAATTC